TTACACTGGATATGGGGTGTGTGGATGGAGCTGTGGGTGGTGTAGCACAAGCCATCTATGGTCCCTCTGTAGGCGCAGGCGTCCTGTGGCTGGCCACAGTGGCAGGCAAATCCGAAACCGGATGCGCCAACCATATATATATATATATATATATATATATATATATATATATATATATATATATATATATGTTTATATGGCGGTGTTGCAATTTTTGGAAGAGAAATCAGTTGTATTGCGTGGGCAAGATAATGTCAGGCTGACCAAGTCAAGAGAAGAAAAGGATTAAGGTTCTCAACCAAAGCCTTTGGTTCTCAAACCTAACTGCAATGCAGCGGATTGGGCAGTGGGCTACAAGGAGTCCGTTTATTGAGTAAGAAACCACTCTCACTCCAACCCCCTAACCTGGAGAGTCAGGATACTGACACAGTCTGACCTCTAAGTATTAACCAATCTACACTGAGTGACTCTGAAGGTGTAAAAAGCACCACCAAGCATAGCCCAATGTATTGTTGAGACATGGAAACTGTAACGTCCACCGTGAACGTTGAATGACGCGTAGCCAAAGATCCCAAATTCAAAACAAGTCGGATCACAAATACTACGGTACTATTAAAGTATATACCGTTGATAATTGGGACATACTTCAATTGTTCAGTATCCCGGTGTATGCAAGTTGACGAGAAGGTGTCAGTAAACAATAGGAGGGAACGAGTTGTCTACGCCGGACAATCAAAGGAACAAGTCACCACACCTGAGTGCTACGAGTATTAAGAATAATGACGTTGACCAATCAATGGATGGTCCAATCACAGGGTGAGAGTTTAATGGCACGCATAAACATGGTGTTTGGACGAGCGACCAGTGAACGGGGGAGGGGTGCGACACATGCTCCGGGCTGAACGTGTCATGTTCGGCGAAGAGTAGGGTTGGAGATCCAAGGTCGTCGGTAGCCGCACACGCACGGAACCAGTGCCGGGGATTAGCATGCACACACAGACACACCTACAACGCTAACAATGGGAATGTAAGGAGGCGCACGTGAACGCTGGTCGATATCCATCAACGATCGGCCAAGGTCTGTAGACTAGACCACGAAGCGAAGAGTAGAAGAATTTCATGGGTAGATAAGCGCGTTACAGAAATCATCGAACCACGCTAAGGTCCAGTCTCGTTGCGACGGATCGCCCTATAAAGCAGACCCAGTGTCAGCAGGCGGACGAGGAACAAGCCATTGGTGTCGGTTGCGAGCGAAGTTCCATAGTCTGGAACTAATGACGGGCTGGGTAGCGTGGACAACTTCGGACTAGAGGGCGAAACGGATTAACGGCAACTAAACAAACGATCCTAGGTGGAAGATCAACGACCGCTGCCGTAGTATTTGACGTCATCCAACATCAAAAAAGCCCAAAACAGCAAAGCTTCGGCAACATTGTGGTTACCGTCCCTTACATTCGCGACTAGAAGATGGTCAGTGGTAAAAATCGAGATGTATACAAGAGGGACAAGTGAAAAAAGAGGTGAGGCACGAAAAAAGGCGTGTCATCACTTATCCACCCCACGTCGTCTGGCAGCAAACAAGACGATATGTTATGATCCCCAAGGTCGCGCAATTTTACTAAGTAACCTTATGCATAAATCGACATCCACGGACGCATGGGGACTACAAACGAAAAGCAGCACCTTGATCTGATCGCCAGTTAGTTTTTTTAGCTTGAAACATTTACACTAATCGTTGACATTACTTGCGTAAGTTACGAAACAGTTTGCTCCGCACTTTACGAGTTTCATACAGCTGTATCGGACGCTGAATAAAGAAGACTGTTTGCCAAAAATGTCAATTGGTAAAGGTGCAAGTTGGCCGAAAAATGAAATAGTCGGGGCATTTAGGTAAAGTCAAATTAAGGAACATGTCGTGTTTCTTGATTTCCAGCTTCCGCAGGAGCAGTTCGCTCCTCCATCCGTTCTCATTATCAGTAAAATCATATCGGAAAATGTTTTCGCACCTGCTAAACAAGGTTTAAAGGTGAGCCAGAGAACAGGGTCGTATTAAAATTCGCAAATGCTGTTAGAGACGACATCTACGGAAGTGCTGCTTTTCAGTGCCTGGTTCTACTCGCGCCGAAAGATAATGGGAGAAATTCTGGATTAAATACGTCTGGTTTCCTTTAAACTGCTTCTACTGATGTTGCAGTATGGCTGGGATTCCTCAAATGAAAAAGGCATTCCGAGTCCTCCAATCAAACATAACCCATAGCCAAGTTGTTATGATCTTCAGTGCCACTCTGATTGGCTGGTGTGAATCCGAACATTTCGACTGGCTGATTGTTAAAGTCTACACATGAGGAAGTAGCGCTAGCCTGCGAACGCAATAATAGCTATTAGCCGAACGACGCAAAGACCAGGGAACACAACTAGCTAGCTGGCAGCGTGCGAATGTGTATTCTGGCCAGAACGGGTACAGAGCATCGATCAAGTAACTGAAGCCACCACTTGTGAGTGAGTAATCGACAGACAGACAGACGCACACGGTCGATGCTGGTGTGACCACTGATTGGAGATGGTGACTCATAGTCCACATTGATCAAGGTGAGCCTTCGGTCACCAGTTTCATGGTCGCAAATTACAAGACGATAACAATATGCAAACTAGCGCCACTAATGTTTCCGGTGATCTTGAGTGTTCTCTGGTCTCTGCTATCTCTTAATTGCCAATAATAGTATCAGATTGTCCGAGAACATTCTTCTAACCAGCCAATGCGATTATTCCACTGAATTTTCGGAAAATGTTAGATTTTGGTCGATACTTGGTTTGCTGACACATTCCTTAGGTGCTCCACCTAACACGACTGTGTGACGGATTAGTTAAAACGAGAGTGAAGTCTGATAAGCCGGGCGCGGTCGCATGCGAGGTGCGATGCTGCCAGGGCGCCCAAACCAAGGATGGAACAAATGCTATATACCGCGATCGAAAATGACATGCTCAACGCATAAACCGCTGGTAGATATCGCGATACTTCCGGTGGTAAAAACACGATGGATCGTGTGGGAGCACTGCTGTTAAGAAGGAAATCTCTACGCAAGCAGCCGAGGCGAGACGGTACGGAGCCAAAGTATGGTCGGTGAGGCGGCACTATCCCACATTAATTGGACGAATATGTAACCAACTGGGTGAACTGCCCAATTAGCACGATAGAGGCATTGTAGGATTGGTCATAAGTTGGCCCTTCTATAGGTTTCCACGCGAGTTTTATATACGGTTCACAGATGTTCCATTTGACTTTTATATTGGACGGTGTGATCAAGTAATACATCTCGCCTTCTCTGTTCGTTCGAAACCGGGTTTTGCATTTTCCTTTTGGGGGTTAATGACTTTGAGTTTCGACCAATAGTCAACCGTCAAATCAGGCGAGGGACGATCATTTCAGCTGGCGATGAGCTGAACCCCAACCAAAATGTCCGTATCGGTTGATGATCTCAAGCCCAATTTGAGGCATCCCAACTCCGGCTGATAGAAACTCTTACCCGTCAAATTTCAATCCAGACCGATTCACAGTCTACAACCGTCAAGCCGTCTGCATCGGTAGACGCCATCAGCAACAGTAGTGCCAAAGTTTCATATGATCATGATGTTGGCATCACCTTTGAATCCTGGTCCAAGCGTTACGAAGATGTGTACCGCATTGAACTTGGGAACCATGACGACGGAAGGAAAGTACGATTACTGTTAAGGAAACTTGGAACAGCAGAACACTCTAGAGACATCAACTTTATCTCATCAAAGAATACTCGAGATTGTAATTTTGATGAGATGGTCAAGTGTTTGTGCAGTCATCCATTTTCAACAACTGATATCAATGACTGAAAATCAACAGGATAGACGCTGACGGCTACGCTAGTTATGTTGGCATTGTTAATCACGAGTGTGGAAAGCTTGACTTTAAATCCACAACGGTTGGTCAGTTAAAATGTCAGATTTTTATCGGTGGATTACATTCCCCGAGGGATGCAGAGATTCGCATCAGGCTGCTAAGTTAACTTGAACAAAACCCACAAATGACGCTCCAAACCATCAAAGATTACTAAACCACAAGAATAACACGCTTATGTTGAGGAAGCAACAGACAATCCCGTCTTAGCGTATTGAAGACCACTGCAAAGAAACCGCTTCCAAGTGAGACAGGCCATGAAAAGCCCAGAGAGAGAGACGACCAAAGTCTCCAAGTCCAACTTTGAATTCGCTTCCGCTGTACCAAGCGTTGCTCACGAATCTCAGTGGCATAGTGATTATGGCGTCAACTATGAGCCAATAGGCTCTGAGTTTCAGCCCAGCTCAGGCTATCTCTACCTGATGAGTCCAAACCAAGACGAAACCGCGGTTGTGGGGTGCCAGTGTTGGGATGAGCAACATCATAATGTTTCCAGAGAGACAAACATTTATACTGCATTAGCTCGCAAGTACCAAGTAAATGCGCTTCTTGTTAAGAGGATGGTGTTTAGTCCCCCCCCCCCCCAGCGCAAATGTGGACGGAGAATCAGCAGAGATTTTGAGTGAAGCAAGTTGATTTTCTCGACAAATGAGAATCGACGAGGACAAATAAATGGGAGACTACCGGTTTTAGTGACATGGGAAAAATACAGAACACAAGTATCTTTACAAAAGCAGTACAACGATAATAAGCTTAAATTGTAGTTAATAGAAAAATGCTTATGGTACGGGACGAATGTCAAATAAAAATTGCGGGGTATCTGGAAACTGAGTACTAAATCGTCCTGGCAGCAATCAAGATTTTCGAATAAAAATGAATTCCGGTTCTGGTCGGACATGCACTGTTTCTGCAATCCCTCATATAACTGATCGGCATGTGACCGCGAAAATGTCTCCGTAGCGATCAATTGAGTGATCGTGAAGTTGGTGTTTAATTGCTGACTACTGGATAAATTATCAGTAGCAAGAATAATCACAAGACAATGAGCAACCCCGAGGAAAAATCGACTTACCTTGTGGCACAGGATCCATTCTCCGCCGATCATAAGTGGACCCCAGTTCTTGAAATCGGGCCTCTGACGCCAGGGGAAACAAAGATAAACGACCACTAGAGTCTGGCTTGGCTAATCTGGCAGCGTCCGCAGCTTCTTTGGCAAGGTGCCACGCTGGCTGCAGACTGGGCTGAATAACGAACTGACGAAGAGCCTATGGGAAAGCAACATGTACCTCGTCAAAAAGATTGAATCGTTCACAATAGACTAGACAGCATGGGATGACAGAATGTCGTAAGTAACCGGGTGGACAAGGGTAAAAATGGAGATGTTACATCATCTATCGCACGATCGTGGTATCAAGCAACGTCAATATCTACCGAGTGTTCATGACTGACTACGGGGATGGTCATATCCAATGAATTAGGCCGATGTGTACAGTTGAGCAACGGGGTGGTTACCAACATGTACTGGAAAATCTATCCATGGGAAACTTAACTGCTGGCGAGGAAAATATCTGTTCCAAACAACCAAAACAAAAGTATTTCAAGGGGACGGATAATGAACTATCAAACATTCTTTCTACATCTATGGAGAGCGGAGTAAGCCGCTTACATTGTGCGCACATTGGCACAAAATAATCGGAAACAGAAACCAGAGTGGTGGTGAGAATGATAAAACAGCAGACCGCGACGTTCGCTGGGAATGCGAAAGAAGTTTCAAATATTAATAACCAGAAACGCGCTCGATTTTCAAGCCGCACTCGTTTGGCTAGCATGCCATACGCGTGAACTTGTCAACTCACGATGGTGTCAATGTGGTATAGGAGGCATCTATCTAACTAATTTGGGTAAATATAGCCCTCTAGAAGGTGCATGATTCGATGACCGATGTCCTGGATCTGGCAAACGGTGGAATCGTACATACTGTACTTCTAACGCAAAAAGGATGAATACTTGGTCTTAAAAGTAAAGTCCATTTGTTGTCTTTTACCAACTCCAATGTCCTACGGGGGACCAGCCTGTCCTCAATCTCATTTTCGCTGTAGGTCTGATCTGCGTTAGTGGTTGATGAAGTGCTCTTGCTATAAGTTCCAGACCATGTCACATTAAGATTTAACCATCATCATCATCATCATACACGTTAGCTAGAGGTGGGGAACACCTCAGCTACTGTGCCGCAATAGATAGAAAAAAGGAGAAAAAATGCAACTGGTGCAAGCCGGCTGAGCTACCAGTAACGGATGGGTATCGTTCCGGTAAGCTACCAGCCGGCTGCTGTGCACCCAAAAAAATTATTATGCAAAACTATATAAGGCTAAATAATGAGATCGTGATTGGAGGGGGAGTCTAAGAGGGATAGGATGGGACAAAGAAACTCACAGCACGAACGCCACTGAGGTCGGCTCCTAGCCATATCAGCAAGTGTGTCCAACCAAACGTGTTCATCGTCTTTCGGACCCCAACCAGGGAGCCGAAACGTTCCAACCGAGGCCAGCTCAGAAGTGAGGGCCTTCATACCTCTGGACCACGTCATCGCCACCCCTCCTCTTCTTCCATCCACACCCCGGCGCGCAAACAACACACGTCGCGGAAGTCCGTGGGCTGGCATGACTAGCACGTGGCCGAGCCATCGGAGCCTGATGCGTGAAATAACGGTGCTGAGCGGTTCATTTCCTTTTCCTGTGCCATAAACAAGGCGTCGAACACGCTCGTTACTCACGCGGTGTTCCCACCAAATGTGAGCTAAATTACGAAGGTTTAACCACCTGAATAGAATACCATTAGAGCTGACTTGGTTTGCCTGAAGTCACAAACGGACATGACACGTAGTTCCTACCAATGAGCCAATCTAAATGTAATTATACTGATTCGTCTCAGCTGCCTACAAGCCAGAAAGTCTAACCCCTAATCCGGAAAACTACGAGAGGAGCGTTTCGCCCTATTAAGGATCGTCAGTGGTCCGCATTTCGTCGGTCGCCTGCATGCGATAGACCCCATCACCGCTAACAGCTTATGGTACTGAGTCATGTGGGACAGAAGCAGACCGCAATAGCTTGCAAACTAACTAGGATACACTGCAACCTATCTTCTACTGCCATGCAGGTTCCTACCACTGCAGAGGATAGTCACTGGCCTAAGGAGGTCACAAATTCCACTACACAGCAGCCATGTCCGCATAGCAACAAAAGGAGCTCAAATTGGTAAATGGAGTAACGTTCGGTGGTGCGGTTCGTTCAGAAACAAACAGCGGGCCGACAGAAACCAAAAGTGAAGTCTTTTGACGGTGACATACATCTCACGCTGTAGACCGCAAGTGCTCAAATAGTGGACACAACTCAAGGAGTAACTCGGTGAAAGCAGCAGCAGCAGCAGCAGCAACAGCGACAACAATAACAACAACAAAAACAACTAAGGATGACAAGAATAATAATAACACGCACATGATCCGAGAAACTGTGTCTTTAGCGGCACAGATCAATACGTACAAAAGCAACCATGCTCTTGCATAAGCGATATGCATAATTGGGGTATGCGATGCATGTAATAGCGTTTTGGTATAAGGTTGAAGCGAAAGCAAGGTTTGGAAACGTGGGTGTTTGGACATTTTCGGATCCCTCTCGTGAGCATAGCTAGTATGGTGTTTAGGTGAAGGTAACGCGAGTTTGTTACTAAGTGTTGCCACAATGTCACATAAGCTAAATGTGACTGGTAGTTTATTTCACAGATAGCTACATCTGACCAGGAAGAAATTTGAACGCATGATTGGTCTAGCCTTTGGTGTAATCAGTGCATAATCTTTGTTGTGAGCCTCTTGAATTGAGCTATATAGCAATTGGTGTGTAGACAGATCGGAATAGGTTTTATTATGTGGCAGGTTGTACAGCAGCGCCAAGTCACGCTTCAGTCGCCGCATCCAAAGTGGCTCAAGTTGAAGTTTGTGGCAACGCTCTCGGATAGTTCATGGCAGAATGCTTATCAATCCGATGTTCAATGAACGATCACTACAGGTGTACCAGAGCAATTCTGTAGTTCTTTTTCATGTCGTATATTCTGCTACAGTACTCGAGTAATGAACCGGTCAATTGGTACATCTTACTCCTGTCTGTCTGTTGAAGCACGTTCCGGTATGAATATACACACTGCGTATCGGTCAGCCTAACTCGAGAAGCTTTAAGCGTCTGTCGCCATAGTCAGACGGCGGAATAGCAGTTTATCTATCAATCACAGGGCAAGAAGCTATGTGGTATGGCAGGTGCTGATGTGTGATCCTAGAAGCAGTTCCCAGCGCTCAAGAAGTATCCCCGAGATTTTAACACTCGATAACTCCCGGATTTTGTCGGTTGATGTTAAGATTACAACATCGACGGGTTACTGGACCGTCCAGTCCAAGCGGATCACATTGTAATGGTAGTATCAGATCAGAGCAGATGGACCAACCGAGCAAGCCAAACAGCCAATGGGAGGCGGAGGTGACGGATACGATTACTGGACTCGGATTGGACGATATTCGTGTAAGTGATTCACCCTGTGTTTAACTGAAGCAAAGGAAGAATCTCATAGACCCAGAAGGGTCGTTAGTTATGGACTTGAACCTGCAATTTATATCGAGGAGTTTGGCTTGCTAAACATGCTGTACTTTTCGCTTAGCCGTCTTTGCCGAATAAACGCTTGTCCCTAAAGGACTGAGTTCTGCAACAATTAATATCATTAACAACAATGCATCAAAAGTTAGGTATTGCGCGGTGGCAATCATGCGCCCCACCATCGGTTTCATGTTCGTTTGCATAGACAGAAGGATTGCGACTCGCAAGCTATCATTACCCATGCACAGAAGTACATCAACTATTTGTACTGATGCTTCGCTTGCGTAAAAGCACGGTGACCAACGGAAAGAAGAACATTAAGAGGAGGAGAAGGGGGGCCTAGCATAAAACCTTAATGCCCTAAGCAAACACTCAGGATCAAGGCGCCTACACCTTGTCAAGAACGTGCAGCCAAAAACAGCTGGCTATAGTGCAAAGATAAGACGGCATCGAGGAGACAGATTCCTTGCAGCTTACACTGTCCGGGGACATAATTAGCAATGACTCTGTAGATAACTCAGCAAAGAAACACATTTTAAACATGCAGTCCGACTAGGAGACAACAGCAGACATACCGCTGGTGTCGACTACGAGTCTTGTCCTGTAACATCTCAAGCTAAACACAAGGTGAGTCACGTGGACTCCAGCCCGGAAGACGAGACGGACCAACGGCACCGAATTTGATCGTCAGTGACTTCATTTCCCGCTGCCAAGTCAACTTCTGTCCGCCTCGAGCCTTGTGCCATCCTACAGCTGGCAGACTAAAAAAGGCCCTCCTAGGTAAGCGGTGACCAGGCATACGTAGCACGTGCCTGTGCCGACAAAACTTATTCAGTACTATCTGTTGTTCTAAGGAACTAGCCTTATCACTGCTTAGTACACGTCTATGCATATCATCGTTCCGAACACGCTGATGCCATCCGACACCAGCAATGCTTAGCAGGTAACGATAAGCTAAGATTTGAAGGCGCCGCAAGTCCTCAGATCGGAGGGGCCAAGTCTCACTCACATATAGTTGGACGGCCCTCACTATGGCCGTGTATACACGACTCTTCAGACAAAGGGAAGCTCATTTTTGTCGCCACAAATGTCGCAAATTCAAAAAGATAGTTTTAGTTTTTGCAATGCGTGAACTGACTTCAATTTCCATGCATCTATCGTTGCCGATGCAGCTGCCAAAGTAGGTGGTGATGAACTACCACGATTTCCGCACCATCAACGGTCAAGGGGTCATCAAGTGGCTGGTGGTGAGATAACAGCAGTTTGCATTTTGAAGGTGCGGAACGCATACCAAAGGATGGGACCACTCTAGAGAGGTTATTCAGTTGATCGGGCCACCTCGACATCGTCAAAAAGCAAGACGATATCGTCCGCATAATCAAGAGCAACTACCTTTTAACCAGGCAGTACCTAGACGCATGAATCATGATGCTCCGCAAGGGAACACTCCATGATTCAGTCCGCGACGAAGTTGAACAAAAATGGGGAAATTAGGCAATTCTGACGAATGCCACTTGTTACCGGAAAGGTATCCGACAACCCAATCTCATGACTGCTACAAAATGACCGACACCTCATACACTGGGTCATTAAGACCCGCGAGCATTCCTTTCTAGAGTTACTTGTTATTGTAACTGCGGTCAGCCACAGGAAAAATGCGCCCGCAGAGAGATCGTTGGTGCCCCGCGGTGAACCACCCGCAGTTCCCACACCTAGTGTTAACCAGATGAAAAGGATTCGAAACAGGTGCCTACAAGTCAGAAGTGGATCGCAGCCAGATAAACATGCACTGGACCAATGGAAAAAATTACGGGAAACATGAACACCAGAAGTACCCTGACCCATTTCATGATGGAACGACTGCCACGGATACCAGGAACCCTCTCGAAGCCACTAAACGGTAGGTGAGGCTGGTACGTGGAGTCTTCGTAGAAGTGAGCGTTGAAATGGGCAACATCAATGGTTGAAAACCTTCTAGCTGCTAATAATCCGACGAGATGAATCTTACTTCTTCCTTAACCCCCATAGGAATTATCGAAAAAACTTGTAGCTGAGAGAGCGGATGAGAATGTTCGGTTGTTCTGCGAGTTGTAATATCTAGGATTTCAACCTCAATCTCTTATCACTGATACCATAGTCGTGGTACCTGGATCCCCCGCACTTCAATACTCGGAGCATAGTTATTTAACTGAACTGAACGGAGAAAGCGAAATGGTGACAGCGGACAAGCAGGCATTGGACCAACATGCGCGTGACGAGCAGACAGAACCGGTACGACACAAGACAATGATGAAACGCGCGTCAGTTGTGTAGAAGCCCCAAAGAACGATGACATATGCATCTTGTCAGTCACAGTGTCAGGAGGAGAACCAATAGCGACACGAGGAGCAAGGTTTCACGGGCCCTTTGAAAAGATCAAACACTTCATTTGTAAACTAACGACACGGACGCTAGTTACTTCACCCTGCATGAAAAGATTTATGAAAGGTGGCGAAACGAATATGGTTTCCAAATGCATAAGGATCATTCAAAACTTGGTTCGCATTTAAGGTATCGGAAATGAAAACTTGTCTCAGTACAAGCGTAGAGAAATTTTAAAAAAAACAGATAGTACGCAGTCAGCAAGACGTCCGAAACTGAATAGGCGCAAAGAGTGACAGAAAAGTGGTGTGTTTCGGTTAGTGACGGAGAGTGATGAGTACCCTGGAAAGAAACAACTTTGCAGGAATTCACGAAGTATTACAACACATCGACGGTACCTTGACCCTGTCATCCGAGCTGAGAACGGTGTCCCGCATGAATGAGCCGAGCTCACTGCTCCCGTTGTATAATCGAAGTCTTGTCTGTGGTATGGATAAGATGGTGCCAGGAGTGATTGGTCCCAAAAGGCAAATTCGAAACTCGGGCACAGATGACTCGTAGTTACCTCGAAGAAGTTGCATCCCTAAATTCAATGGAAAAAGGAAACGTGGCGGATGCGCTTTGCAACAGTGTAACACTGTGGAGGAGCACATTAAAAACTGAGGCACTGTGGAAATAATAGTTCCTGACCAAATAAAATGAACAGCCTTCGACAAGCGAAAAAGTCATCAACAGTACGTCGGCACACCGTCGCAACACTTCGCTGCCACGCGACTACTAACAGTCGCGAGTGCACTAGGTATACCGTGATATTGCCTATATCTACGCGAACTGGGACCTCTGGATCACAAGTGCACAATCCTTTAGGCCACCCGCCGACAGTAGATCACTCAGAGACTTTTCGGGATCGTGATCGAGAGATCCAAAACACACAGTCGATACGCATCAGACGAAAATGAACACGAGGAAACCGACGGCATGCATCGCAGATAGCAGGTCTGGTACTATCATGACCATGGTATGCACAGGCCCCATCGCTTCAACTGGGGTGCACACTTGTCGTCGCACGGTTAAAAGTTATCCATAAATGATATACCAGATCGGACGCAGCCCAACTGATGTCAGCAAATCCATCAACAACAGCAACAAATCAATAAACTGTACCTGTGCCTCGTTGCCCCAAACACAGAAATCAGGATAAACAAACTTAGACACAAGAAAAAGAATTGGAGATGGACCTAGCGATGGCTTCAATGAAGCAAACAGCACTACCAACACCACCAACGACAAGTTGCATGGCAGTGGAGCACGGGTCGGGCTATATCGCAGTTAGAGTACAATCCATGATGGTCGGCTATCGTCCCCCAAGACTCAGTGATATAAGCTGCCGCACAGCGGTGCAAGCCACTGGCTCGGCTGTGCACCAGAGCAGCGGAGCCGTTACTTAATACCTTAAGGATCACAAGCCTGCCTTGTAATCCGAGGGCATGGATACCAGCCTTGGTCGGGACTAGGCAACCCTCGCGGTACCCTTAGCCCACGTGCGACCGGGGGTGGTTGTGCGGCAGCGAAGCGTCGGTACTACGTGCCAGCGTACTGCTGGTGACTTTATTTCTACTACCTTTCCGATAAATCACGTGAGCCCAAATCAGATATTACTGAAGGTTGCGGCGGACATTCTGAAAGCGCCTACTCGGTGAAACTACTTTCCACTCGCGCACAGACGAATGAATAGCATAACCAAGTGGAGAGTGTGGATCACCGATTCAACGTGGCAAGCAGTGCTTAGCATGTGGTTCATGGTGATGGTGATGACTATGGATGAGGATGACAGAGTGACAGTCCCTCAAAAACAATAGACAATAGAGGCTTCTGTTCGTCTGAAAGGACGGTTCTCATACTCTCTGATAATCAAGCTGGTCTTCAAGGCAAAGAGTAGGACGAAAAGCTTGTGCTTGTTCAGTACTAGATGTGGTATCATTCGTGTGACTGTTCTAGTCTCAAACGTAACATCAATGAGGGATAAAATTGTCGCATTACAATGCTATACATAGTAAGCAGTTTCAGTGCCGTGTCCTGTTTTAGAAGTAAGGACAGCGTTCAATTGTGAACAATAGTTTAACGATTATACATTCAATTTCAAGGATGAGAATTACAACGCTGTCAGATCGATCCATGGGATTAAGTCGTTTTTCTTGGAGTCAGTAAGTCCAATTGCTCTGTTGGCTCCACAAAACGAACCCGATATATCCTCCTGGATGGGAGGAACAGTGGTATTAGTTGACCGGAGGAACCCTAGCCCCATCCGTACCGATATTAACCGGCTTTCAGAACGATCCAAGTCAGTGGAAATGTGTCCAGATAGACTAAGTATTTATGTCAACACTTCGATATACTACCAAACAGTCATCAATCAATTAAGACATACAATTGCGACAACAATCAGTGGGTGCTTGCATTTCATGCAGTCCTCCCTCAGATTGATAGTTCAAAAAGTTACGAAACAGACCGCAGTAGGAGGTGCAGATATAGAAGCAAGAAATGCAACGAAAAGAACATGATCGTTTCGCATCACTTACGGATGGATTGTAGCTGGGGTTTGCGAGGACGTTGCACAACGATGCCTGGCCACCAAGGTAAACGAGTGGGATGTTTGGGGCGAGCCCAAACCAGCTCACCGACTGCCCATGGCTCTCGTCGGTCGACCAGCATAGCTGCAACGCTCGGTAGGGATTTCAACGAGGATAATTTTTTAAGTTTTAAAACAGACAGCAGTTTCACTCGCTCTGCCCGTAAACGTGCACATGAGACTAGCGACGAATGCTGAGCAAGCTTCGGTGGTCGTCCACGACTGTAAAGGAAAAAAAGAAAGAATGCGATACGGTTACCAGAAAAACTATTAACCACAAAATGCAATCCCTTATTTCCTGCTGCAGAATTTTAAGTACGACAGCTTCAAAATCTTGTACCGACAATTTATGAGTTTATCTTTCGACTTTATCCCATTTTACTCGTTGACTGAGATAAAGTATTGCTATGGTTACATGAGTCAGTTGGCGAATTCAGATCCAGTTACTGGGTTGCGGTGCACGAACCCCACAAGAAGAAATATGAAGAGGATGAAGAGAGACATGTGAGGCGGGGCAGCGTGATCCAACCCAATCTGGTTGACAGTTTAACCAAACAGAAACGTAATAACAGTGCATTATGATGCGAATAAACGGTGGTTAAACTGGTTAAAATTCAGGCTGCTACCATAAGCGGTGTTCACATGGTCGGGTCGATACGTTTAGTTAGTGCCCGTGTTGGCTCGAGACCTAAGGAAAGTAAAGGGAACCGAATCCAGTGGCGGAACTATAAAACTGAAAGCATTACGCACTTTCCCTGTAAACTGAAGCTCAACGGTTCGAATCTGCGCAGGTATAGGTAACTTCGCAGTATACCCAGTCCAGGCGCGACTGGTGACGGCGCGGCAGCGAAGCGTCGGTAAGGTGTGACGGTGTAATACCGATGAATACTGGGTAAATTAACTCTGGCTGTTAATCGTTTCGGGCTATGCTTCGCGCCCTCGAAATGCAGTTCTTCTCCAAGCTTGACAAGAACCCACCCCTGCGATGGCCATTTGTGGGAACCAACTAGAAGTCGTTCAGAAATTCAAGCATCTACGCCGCTTTATTAATGCCCGTGGAATCGACAGTGAGATCACAAACTGTACAGCAAAATCTTGAGGCATTTTTGCCAATCTTCGCCATCTGTAGAGCCGGCATGATATCACTCTCACCCTGAAAGGCAGAATTTACCAAACAGCCGTGGGTTCAAGCCTCCTGTACGCCTGCGAAACCTGGCCCATCAGATAATCAGGCATAAAGTTTTACCGTTGCTGCCTTCGCAGCTTGGCTCATGTAGGAGGGGAATACCACGTGAACAATGAGCGTGTTTTGCGTCGTGTATTGGGTGCAAGAAGAGCGAGTGAACTACTCAGCCGTTATATCACGCACATGACCCCGATAGCTGGGCCACGTGTTATGCATTCGGCACACTGACTCCTGCGTCGTTTGTGCGACCGGGGGCGAGATGGAAGAAGAGGCGAGGAGGCCAACCGATGACTTGGTCAAGATTTATGAAGACCCGTACTTCAAGCTTGTTGTCCCCCGACTGCCTCGCTGGGGCCCGAAAGGCAAGGAATACGTTTAATTGGATACACTCATTGACGTGGAGAAGAGCTGGCTGCAATGGTGTTCGTGTTGTGAGTTGCGTTGTTTCTCTTTCTCCCGCTTATTTTCACCTCCAACCACGAGCTTGCATCTGATGCGCAATATGATACTATGTATCACATTATGTGGCTTTTGGTTTTTATAATGTATTCCGCACCGTTATATATCGAATATTTTCAAAGGTCTTATTATGTTGTATTGTAGAAGAAAAAGCATCAGCAACACGTCGGTACTGCGTACCGGCGCTTCGCTACCGCGCAACCACCAACAGTCACACGTGGGCTAAGGATACGACGAGGGTCGCCCGGTCCCTACGCAGGCTCGAACCCGCGCCCCCAGATTACAAAGCAGGTCTGTGGTCCTTAAGGCAACGGGCCGGCTTTGTATTGCGGAAAGCAAAACAGACATTAACTAACAGTATGCCGGTACATCGTACTGACGCTTCGTTGTTACGTGACCATTACACATCGTGCGTGGGCTAGGTATACTGGGATTTCGTCTACACCTGCGCAAATTCGAACTGGTGATCTTCAAATTAGAAGGCACGTTGACTTTTCGGAGACTAGCAGAGTATCTAGCAGAAACAAGCTCATAAAGCGTTACCGGTGAAATGGTTGCGGAAATACTATAAAGCTTCCACAAGACAGCAGCCTGGTAAAGAAAACGGGGACACAAACAGAACGCTATGCCCTAACCTGTGTCGTAAGATATCGCTAAAAAGGAGAAGGTGCATGGAATGTGGGAAAGAAACATAAGAGGGTGACTTTTGGTCCTATGCGGATATGACCACAAACTTGCGCTGTACCCGTTACGAGACCCGAAAGCGAGGGGACCAAGCTCAATTACGCCGTCAATCCGGCTCAATTCCTGGCTGTCCACATGGTGTAGAAGTGATGCAACAGCCGGGTGATGGCGACTGAAGTTTCTATCCTAGCCATCAGCCCGCGGCGAACAAAAAGAAATGGACAGCCTGAAGGGAACTGTGCACCAGTGACAAATCAGAGTATTCAGAGACTAGGATCGTGCCATTTGCACCATTTGTAGGATGGGAAAAGTGGGGTTTGGTGGGCGAATACAATGCATTATTGACGACCATCAACGACAGAGCATCGGATGAATAACGTGACTAGTTGGTGGCTTGAGTCACTGCTGCGACAAATGACGACGTTTGGTTATATCAACTGCAACCTTGGCTACGCGATTTATAGCGTTAACCTCAAACTCGTCGGAAGGAATAAAGGGCCACAAAAGTAATCAAAACTAGCGATAACAGCCGGTTGAATTCTAGTAAGCGACAGCTGAGAGAAGTAAGGTAAGGTGAGTCGAAGATGACATATATAGAGGCATGAAATACTCTCCAATCCTCACACACTAGCAACCTGTCTGCGACCGTATGCTGTTGGTCTTTGGATCCTGAGTGCTTGTTTGGGATATTCAGATTTCGCATAAGACCCCCTTCCTATTTTGGTTAATATTTAATTGGCACAACTCTCATAGCTGAGGAAGTATTGACACATTGGCACTGATGTCGTTTGCCGTTTGACTACGTCGACAAGACATAGGAATGGTAGTTGATGCGAGCATATTGTTCCGGTAATACTTTCAAGCTATGCCGATTAACCTCTGTCAGTCAGGCGAGTTTAGAAGATCCACGACCAACGGTTTCATCCTGATTTAGACCCATCAGGTAGAGATAGCCTGAATTTGGAGTGGAACTCGGGGCACATAGTGGTTAGTGGCTATCGTCATGATCACTAGATCACTGAGCTCCGCGAGCACGGCCTGACACAGCGGTCAGATTTCGGTGTACACGCCGTGTGCCTTGGATTGTGACACGCAATCTCAATTGTGGCTTCGGTTGATTTTGAAGTCAGCCTGTGTCATTCCTGTCGGATACGGTCTCAGTGATCGGAATGGTACAGGCTGACTTTAAAGTCAACCGAAGCCACAATTGAGAGTGCGTATCACAAACCAAGGCACACGGCGGGTACAGCAAAACCCGACTACCGAGTTTAGAAGATATTAGGGGGTGCAGAACCTGGATCGCTGGCAGAAACAAGACAGCCATATTCAATGGGAGTATGTATGGAATCGTGGCAGAAACGTACAAGATGAGATCACACCGGAAGGAATCTCTCTGTGCAAAGAGAATATGTCAAACTTCGTAAACTTCATCTGCTCGGCAGAACAACACCTGCGTTCCTCGTGACCGTCAGAAGCTTAATGTGATGCGGATTACTGGAATGGATTTGACCGAGGAAACACGTGGTGCACAGCTGAACTAAGCAAAGGTCAGTGACCTAGTCAACACTACGATGAGTGGATGCATTAGCACATCCAGGTCAGGGGCAGGAAATGTACTTTGCATATTTAGCATCGCCCCATAAACCTGTACAGGCTATCACACTAGGAATCGACGTGCCCAGGACCACACTTGATTCAACAAGCGACCACGGGCCGTACGATGACTCATGTCAGAGAGAGAGAGAGACGGAAAACTGGTGGGATTGATTAAAAACCGATCGATGGGCAGTGAAGCGGCGCGCACGAGTAGCTAAAGCTGACATGAGCGTGGAATAACGCAGCTAGTCAGAGATGATCCGCCGGCTTATTTAAACAGGACAAGAAGCTTGCGTGCACGAAGACAGGAAGTTTATCGATTGTGAACGAACAAAGCAACATACGGTACTTTGTCTGGTCGGAAGAAACAAGAACAATGCAACGGGAAAGAATGCTTGTGTCATAATTATTAGGTACATGCAGATTAAGGCCATAAACAGTGCCAGCATTACGCTAAGGCCGCTTATCACATCCAGGTGAAGACAGATAGCTGGCTGATGCTTAAATGGTCGCAAAAACGTTAAGAGCAGAAAAAATGAAATGGAGCGGCTCTAGTGACTGAAATTACGGGCTGGCAAGAGAGAAATGCGGAGACGCGCAAACATTAAATAGCCAAGCTTCCCCTCCATGTAGCGGGGGAAGTAGTGTTCACAAATGGTGACGGCTTAGCTGAGTGTAAACTTTTAGGAAAGAGAAAAAAACATAATAGCAGTCAAAACCCTCTTCTACAGAGCCATAAGAAGTCGCACCACAGACAAGTTCAAGGCCGAAGAAGAATTTCTACATAAGTCTCTATCGTCGAATGGATATCTGGATAAGTAACTTCAGGTTTATAGCCGACGGCCCAAAGAGAAACCAACGGTCCACACTGCAGGGAAAAAGGTTTACTTGTTTCTACGGTTTGAAGGAGATCACTTAGCCAATGACATCGGGCGCAAGCTCAAGTCTGCGCTCTCGCGTACTCACACCACCGCCCAGCTGCCAATGCTTCGCAGCTTGCGAAGACTGGTTCTCAACTACCATCCGACAGTGCGGCCTCAAATGTAGTCTAACAGTTCACCGACAGTTGCGGTGACGTTTATATAGGCAGAACTAACCGTAGAGTGACCCTAAGGGTGGTGGAACACCTTCCAAATTGGCTGCAGCAAGCATTAGCGCAACAAACCGGTACGAATAAACTGAAGAATCGCAACGCTACCTCGTCCATTGCGAGGCACCTCGTACTGACTGGTCATCACGCGGATAAATCGACCGTGTTCAAAGTACTGTTGAGCGATCGCAACACAAAAAGACTGGTTACCATCGAGGTCATACTTATCTCGAAGTATCGCCAGGTGTTGCGTGCACAGAAGCAGTCTGTTAGACTGCTTTGGTTTTGATTGTTCATGTTATTTCAATTCTGTTGTTTCCTAATTGTATCGCGTTCGCGGCTGACGAGAGCAATTGTAAGGTTAACATATGTGCTTTATGTCTTCTTTCTGCGCTTAACAATAGAGCAGCTCGAGGACCTGAGAAACACGACGCGCAGCCATACAGCAAGAGAGCTAAACTATTACATAGATTATACCCAGCCGATGGAATGAATCATGGGCAAGAATTACTAAACGATGAGAAACTGGAACGATCTGCTGGTGCTACCCGATTCCTCCAGAAGGAACAGGCATCAGCAGCACGCAGTACTGACGCTTCGGTGCCGCGCAAACACCACCGGCTGCACATGGGCTAAGGATACTGCGAGGGTCGCCCTGCTCCTACACAGGCTGGAACCCGTGCCGTCAGATTACAAGCCAAGCTTGTTACCTTTAGGTTACGGGCCGGGAGGAATGGCTGTTCGACCGCACGGTTAACTGTTCTGTTCAATTAGACAGCCACCCAAAAGAGATGGGTCCAGTTGCCTCGACTTGTGCCGCCAATGAACAATAAATAGCAATGTTGAGATATTGACATAGAACGTAAACAGAATGCAAAGAAAAGCAAATTAGGGGTAAGGTTGCAAAATTAATCGGAGTAGAATACCAGCTGCTACATGTATGGAACCGAGTGCACGGGCATCACTGACTACGTGATTGCACCATGTCCGACAGTCTAAACGATGCAGCCATTCCGAGAGCCCAATCTCGGAAGACATGAAGTACCAGTCTGACCAAGTCATGCCACGTGTTCGACTGGTCATTTCGCGGTTTCTCTCAACCGGATGCAGCGAAAGCTCATGGCTTTAAGCTTCTAGTTATATCTAGTAATAACATGGCAGTATGTAGCCAGGCACCAGAACGAAATGGACGTAAAAGCCGTCCCTGAAAGTGGACCAACAGTATTATCAGCACTGAAAAAATCCGGGTGTAAGTGGACGGAATGTATAAGAACGATGGTAGTGGGAGAAGCAAAATTCAAAGGGTCACCCTAAGTTTAAATTTTTGTTGCAATAATAATAATAATAATAATATGTCAGCCGTACGCCGTAACGGTGCTTCGCTGCCGCGCGACCACCATCAGCCACGCGCCGGCTGTGTATACCGCGAGGATACCCACCCCTAGGCGGATTCGAACCGGGGACCTTATGGTTGCAAACCACGCGCGCCGACCACTCTGCCACAGGCCGAAAAGAGCGGTATAAGGGAGACTGGGTGGGAACACTCGGAGCCAACCATAGTGTCAATATATGATGCGATGAATATTATAGTTTGAAACTAAAGAACCTATTTCAAAAGACGGAAAACTAAGGAAATAGTCAACTGTGCATGTGTTACCGTTTTAAAAATACGAGTGCTAACGACAGAGAAAAAGGATGATCACTTACATTTGTCCTTCAAGGGGGATCATGTACCAAACCATATCGAACACAAGCTCAGGTCTGCTCTAACGAGCACCTACACGGCCTTCCAGTTGCGACTCATGCACACCACATGAAGCCTTGTGTTAGTATGGGCACCTCCTAACAAATCGACCAGTGGCGCCTGTTTTCGACAAGAACCAACAGATTCTGCAAAGATTTCTCCGGAAAGTCTCGTTTATCAATGAAAAGAATGTTCCTGAAGATTCTGATACTATTATTGGCAAGTAAGGAAGGAAAAGGAAAGAAGAATATTCAAGAAGGTCGCCAAATACCTATAAATGTAACCCACATGCTTTACGTTTTGCCGTATCGTTCGGCAATAAACGGTACGAACGTCCGCCAGTGTTATTTTTGTCAGCCAATCCGGGGTCGGGGTCGAACAGCCAATAGGAGTGAGGCCGTAATTAGAGCAACGCAAAGGCCGACGGTTCGTACAGTCAAATGGAGTGAAGCGGTGGTCCTAACACTTTGTTCTTCCTAGTCACCAGAGCAGCTCATCGGCCAATTCGTTTCTCACGTGGTTTACGGATTCATAAGTAATTGCAGGTAGAACTGACCGTCGGTTGACTCAGATGGTGGCTTAACATTTTCCATAATGGTTGGGACGAGTGATGACGCAACAAAACGGAGCGGATCCTAGGATGAACAGGAGCCTGTCATCATGCGACGCCAAGCATGTTATGGTAACCCCTTCATCATGTGAACCCGAAGAACGCGTTCAAGGTACTAATACGCAAAAGTCCGATAATTTTGACAGTCAGTGAAGCTATGCCAATTAAAGCGAAACGCTTGAGGCAACCAATTAGGTTGCCTTGGTCTTGATAATGGTATGTTGCTCAGGGTTACCAATTTTCCGCATATATAACCGTGTGTGTTCCACTGGTACTGTGCTTGCGACTGATGAAAACAAATGAGATATTGACAAGGCGCAATGCATGTTATCTCCCTGCTTTGATGAAGTGGTCGAAGGGGACTCATTGTAGCAAAGCTTGAGTTGACTTACAGAAAAGGTGAATCCTAGAGAAACACCGAACGTTGAAATACTATAGCAGTCGAGGTCGGAAATTATCGAGTCATAAGTAATGCCTGATAGCCTATTAGAAGTAGAAATATAGTCGCAATGATGGATTTGGCGTACTCGCTGCATATTTGCATTGCGATGCGCAAACTGAATCGGGATCACGGTTTATCCTGAAGGAAAGTTTGATTATTCCGAGCACTGGGATCACATCCTGTATCGCTAATTGATGAGTGGTGAGGTATACTCCAAAATAAACCGCAGTTTAGCGAAATTTCAAATTCCAAACTATGGTCTACGAACCGAAATGCAGTGGACCCAGTATCTATGGCACAAGTCGCAAGAACAATACCAATGATGATACAAAAGGAATGGGGAAGAAGCAGAGTGGTTATGGGCCCGAATTGAGGAGAATAATGCAAGAGCACCACTGACTAGGCGATTGTACGATACCCGACAGACTATCAAGCGATTGGCGTGCGCGATCCAGAAGACGAAAAGTACCGAAAGGTGAGTTGTTCACACCTATCAGCCATGTCATTGACTGACCACCTAGGAGTTTCAACCAGTTAGGTGCTGTATTGGAAGACAATACGATCCGAGGATGCTGACATGAGGAGCACATCGCCAAGCCAATAAAAGAGACCTGAGTTCAATAGGCACTCTAATGAGGTACTGGCGTTTCCAGTACAAAACACCTAGAGATTCAAATAGGCGTAGAATAGGGTCAACATGAAGTACTCCAATTCCCGTAGTGAACTCGGCGAAGTGTCACGTGTTGCGGATGGAGTCCGATGAGCTAGTTATCAGGGGTTAATCACCAATTACTACGTCCTGGATTTCGCTTCCAGTTCCCGCTAGCTGAAGAGTAAAAAGAAAGGCGATACTGGTAGCAGAGTGCAGTAGTGAGAAATAATCGCCCGCAAAACTTGATAACAACGAGGTTTATGAAGAAAAAACACGGAGGGTACTGGGCGCACTAGATACATTCCGCTGCTGTGTGCGCGCATGTGTGACACAATCTAACAGTGGTAAACCGGATGTCGGCCTGAAGCATTGAAGACAAGTATCGCTATACCAAAAGGAAAATTACGGAACATCTGAGAGATGGGTAGTTCATAACCTATACGTCACCTGGAAACGCAATAGAATAACTAAGCCTGCTGTATGGCGCTGCATTATGCAACCACCGAAAGCCAAATGCAAGTCCTCATTAATCAGGAGGCACGCGTTAGCTGAGTACACGTTTATCAACAATTACCTTTTAAAAGGTCGGGGCATGAGGTCAGATGATGTCTGTAATAGGTATAAGAGAAAGGACAGGACCGATTTGACAGAGAGTAATCCGAGAAAGAGATGAATCCGGATATTGTGAAGAAAATAATCGCTCGAGGCAGATGTTAGCGAGTGGGAGAAAAGTATCAACTTAAAAGCACCAAAAATTAACAAGGAAAGTAAACAATGGAATATATTTCACGAAGAGATGACAGGAACAATTCAATTTATTGGCTCGCAACAATGACGTCACTTACGCAGGCCGCTTCTGCATCAGTGCCTTCAATAAAGAATTCTCGGAATTCCGGTGTTCAGTCTTATTCCAATCGTGTGCTTGCTCAGATGAACTGTCGTCATCTTGTGGCCTGAGTAAAGGTTGTCGTTTGCGTCTAGGTTGTTCTTCGTCACTTTCAACTTCGGAACCACTGGATGAAGAAAAAACATATGCGACGTCTGACGACTTTTGAGTTACGTCAGACTCCAACTGAAGGCATTCCAATTTCCAAAACCCTCGGGAGCTAGTAAGCACGGTGGACATGAGGGGGCCGGGTTCTGACGGATAGGATGCAGTAATGACGGGATCATCGTTCACATTAGGGAGGTGCTCTCCAAAGCCATTCATCAGGTGTGGATTGATATGCTTAAAATCCAGGGATAGTGTATCACAAAGGTCACTGTTCAGAGGGGCAATCGTTCCGACAGAGTCTGCTTCGGTATCGGGTAAATCCAAAGAAGTCATAAACGGCATGCCCGGAGATGAAGATAATTACAAATGGTTGCGACAGCCACTGAAGAGAAAAGGGAACTTTCAAAGAGAATGAAGCTATAACGCGTGCCAAACTGGAAACTGGCAGTTGGTACATCAGCCATTGGAGTTGAAAACGGGTCCAAGGAATGCAAAAGTGTTACAGACAGCAATGTCAAGGCCACTAGCTAGTGGAAGAGAGTTACACACGGAGTACTCTCAAAGCGTCCGGTCGCCAAAAGCTACTAGCCCAGAAGTAACGAGAACGATGCGGATCGTGTTAAATAATACCCATGTGCAAGCTACCATAGTGAATGAGGAGTGGCATGGAAATCCCACTTAGACGACATTACTATCGTAATGGATTTAGAAATCTGCTCAGACGCTGGCTGAAATCGTGACAATGGGAAAATTCTTACTAAAGGAGCCGAAAAGGTGGCAAAACAAACCGAAAGAGAAGTGGTCAAAGACGTGAGCTAGTTATGGGTGATGCCTTTAATCGTCCAGTCTGTCTCACTCTCACTCTCTAAATCTCTCGATCTGTGAAAACTATGTAGGACGAAGTCACGATTCCCTCCTAGTTCAGAACAAGCAGCATAAGCGGAAAAACGAACCAAAATGCAATAAAAGGCATTAATAGTGCTGCAGTACTTGGGAATCGAAATGACCAAATATACCGGTGGTTGACGTTAGGCGTGCGGATATCCAGTGTGAAAGCTAATGGTGATTCAGTTTGATAAAAGTGACGTGCGGCCTGATTAATAGCTACAACCTCAGAGGTTGTTAGCCAGTGGGATATCAGCAGCTAATCAGTACCATGTACGGATATCTCGCTATCAAGCGAATACGAATGGTCGTAAGCAGGCTTAGATACTGCGGGGGGAGCAAAAACTCGAATCTAGAGCACATGAATCACTACACCAGCACCAGCATCACACGATGGCTACACCATGGTTAACTAGCAAGTTAAATGAGCGCATTAAAGAGGGAGTAGGGTTAACGTATGTGTTTCAAACGTGAAGTCTGCGAAAATACCGCAAGTGGTGGAGATGATATTGCCGATGAAGACGGAAGCAAACATGAAAAGTCAGGTGGAGTTTACATCGAATCGTAGAGACATGAGACTGAATAATGGTGGATAAATATGTCAAAGATTGTTGCAGACTCGCCGATAGTATCATGCCAGATTGTCTAAACTAGTCAGATGGTCTATGTCATCAACGGTACGTGTCGGTACGCAGGACCGACGCTTCGCTACCACTCAACCACCACCAGTTGCGCGTGAGCTAAGGATACTACGAGGATTGTCCGGTTCCCTACGCATGCTCGAATCGGTGACGTCCGGGTTGCGAGGCAGACGCCTTGTCTTTTCGGCCATCAAGACAAATGTACCAATGCGAAATAACCGTTCCGTGAGTTCAGCTGCGCGCTCAACAATAATAAAAGAATAATGTATCAGTTGCACGCCGCAACGGCGCTTCGCTGCCGCCCGACCACCAACAATCACGCGCGGCCAGTGCATACCGCGAGGACGCCCTACGCGGAGTCGAACCGGGGAGCATACGGTTGGAAACCAGGTGCGCAGACCACTCGGCCACCGGCTGCGCGCCCATCCTACCCACGTGCCTGCATATCTCATAACTTTGTTCAAAAGACAAATAGGGTGAGTTCGGAATCAGTCGAATTCATCGTGTAAACCATGACACGAATAACAAGGCGCAGTGGGCTACGGTGCTAAATTCGTTTAGACGACAAGGGTTCAATTCAGTTCCAACGAATAAATATGATCCGGTTGCTACAAGTCATGTCGCCATAACACCGATCAGGTTGAACGCAGATGGAATAGAAAGAAAATAGAATCAAGACAAAAGTGCGTAAAACAAATCCGGGTGGTATAAGAATTAATATCTAGATGCGAGAAACCGATTGCTAGAATACCACTGACTGCACGATGCCCGATAATATCCAGCCACTGATGTGGACAATCCCGAGGCACCCATCCACGAGGACGACACACACCAGCTTGACCAAATATTCAAGTCAATTTTCATGCTTTTATGACACGCTATCGATTGGCCACCTCGCGGTTTCGCAGAAATTGGTGCAGCAATGGCGTATAACTTACGCCGAGGAATCCGGTCAACGAGCCTACGTAAGCGGTTAGGTCTAAGCAAACACTCAAGTAAGGCAACAGAAGGCTTCTTATCAAAAGGTAGCTCGCGAACCTCAGCATCCTTCGTCCATTGTTCCCACTAGATATGCGCAATATTCCGCAAACACCCGTGGCCATACATGGCCAAGCGTTAAATGCCATCACTGTAAACTGGCCAGACCTCTGACCCATACAGTAACACCGGATTTATCTCAGCGTTATCCACTCTACCTTTCACTGGCAGTTGATATCCCGATGTCTCCATAGATGGTTGGGCCACTGAAATGCACAAGGGCCTTGGTGATATGCAAAGTAACTTCATCAGTGATGTGGTCACCAGCGGTGACTCAGGGAACAAGATAGGTGAACCGATGCACCACTTCTAATGGCTGCTCAGTAACAGCTAGAACCAGGGGCCCATCGGTCGAGTGCGTCGACAATACAGCACCTTGAAGGTGCAAAGCTCTTGCCAGAGTGCATCGCTACACGTCAGTCTATACATCAGTGCTCGCATAAAGTCGAACATACTGAAACGGTGTAAAGTACGTGTGGGCGTTCATACTGGAAAGCTGCGCTACCCATATAGATGCCTTAGATAGCACATAGTTAAAGAATCCAATCGCCATCATCCACAAAGTCGCCATCCAGGCGACAATGACGATGAAGTGATCAACTCGAGTAATGAATCAACAAACGTTGTAATGTTGTTGGATTTGCTGGTGTAAATAATAATCGAAAGGGAACACTCCATGATAGAATCCACGACGAAATTGAACGGAAATGGGGAAATCGAACAACTCTGACGAACGCCACTTGTGGCACACTTGAAATCGAGGAACACAGCTATTGTCGGTCTGCGGTATACGTGGCGATGCTCTAGCACCTAACAAGGCTGCTCTTCCCTAATCCGAGATTCCCGTTCTACAGTGAGGCGACGAACGAGAATCGAGGCCACTAATTATGTCACACCTGGTGTTAGGCTAATACCCCTGTCTGTGCGTCCGCCCTTCTTGTACATTGTCACTATAATCGACTCGCACCAATTAGCCGGGACGCTCTCTTCTTTCCAGATACATTCGAATAAGGAAGTCAGTGCTCTACAGAGGACCTCACCTCCATCCTTAACTAATGCAGCTGGGACGGAATCCGGGCAAGCGGCTCGAAAACGATTGAGGGCTGTGATCGCGTTTCGGACCTCGGCCTCCGACGGAGGCTCTAAACTAACCGTCCATGGCTTGTACTGCATCACCTGAGTAGGAAGAGGTCCGGGAGTAGGGAGCCAGCTGAACTGATCTTGAAAATGTTTCGCCCAACGAGCCATACGGTGCTCCTTATTGTGTATCAGTGCACCCGTGCTGTCTCTGATTGTCTCACTGACGCCTGGTTTTCTGGGACCAGTGGTGCGAATCAGCTGGAATAGCTTGCGGGAATTGCCTACTGCTCCGGCCTCCTCCATTTCTTGATCCCGACTGGTCCATCAGGCTTTCTTAGCAGCACGTAGTCTCCGCTTTAGTTCGCGCCTAATGTCCCGTCTGGTCATACCGTGCTCAGAGCCAGCCGGAAGGTTTCTTCTGGATTGCAACAGGTTCACCGACCCCTCGAATATCCAGTGACTGGTGCGGTGACGATGGATAGTGTCACAGGCAGATGCTCCTGCGTTCTGCATGGCAGCTGAGATCCTATTCCACTGAAGCTCAGTGTCATTAGAACAAGACAGCGAAAGTTCGGTATGCAGTGCATGTTGATAGGCTTGCCTGACCGAGGGCTGAGACAATTTCTCACTTGCCAATCGGAGGTGACACTTGGTGCGCCTCCCGGTAAAGTTCCTGGAGAAACGACAGCATACCAAGGCATGATCAGAGTCGACACAGGTACTCCAGTACGAGCGGCAATCCAGGATGGAACCACGCCACCTGTAATTCATGGCTATGTGGTCAATTCGGGTCCATCGCTGGCCAGCTACAGGAGAACGCCAAGTGCCATTTCGGCGCTCACTGTGTCTAAAAGCATTGCTACTAAGAAACACCGGGTGCTCCGTACACAGTTGCAGCAGACACTCACCGTTGTAAGTCCGTTCGGAGTTAAGCCCATAATTACCACTCAGCAAAGCTTCTGAAGAGCTGCATATACTGCACATGTGCGTTCATATCCCCTGCAAGTACTATGATATCTGGACTAGTAGCACTGCGTAGTAGCGCGTTCAGTTCGTGATAGAATGTGCCCTTGACAGCATTAGGACTGCAGTCGGTGGGAGCATAAGCGGAAATCACAAACAAACAACGTTTTGTGCTACTTCGTGAATCAACCTTAGCTGATGTCCTCAAAAGGGCTGCACATAAACGGCTGTTCACCGGAATCCAATCAACCAACGATGTCTCAACCTTGGAGCTTAGAATGATACCTACACTAGTTTGACCCGTGAGTGCTGCATCGGCGTCTCCGGATGCGTGCAACCAATAACGAGAGGATAAACCGGGTGCAGTCAATTCAACAACCCCGTTAGGGTCATTGATCCTAGTTTCGGACACACAACATACATCAACACCCAATGTGTCCAATGTGCGTGCAAGCGCAGCCCGTTGACCTATTTGTCTTAGAGTGCGAACGTTGAATGTCGCCATGAAAACGGGACAGCGTGGCCATATAAGGGACTGTTGCCGATAGGCATCCGATGGGTGCCGCGACAAGGTGGCTGCAGATGGTTCTACTCCAGTGGTACTTCGGTTGCTGTCAATTAAGCTTGGAATTAAAGAAGGAAGGTTAGTAATGGGGGTCGGGGTTGGGAGTAAGAGAAACAGGTGGAAAAGAAAGAGAGG